AAAATGGAGCCGTTGCTAAAGAAAAACCAGGGATTCGGTTTCCTTTTCCCTCCTGGAACAACCAGCCGGGTGCCGGAGCGGCTGTTTGTTATCCCAAAAACCCACTGGAATAACGGAGGAAACAGGAGGCTCCTGCTGGATCCCTGCGCCAGCGGCGCCGTTCCCAAAACCGCCTTTTGGCAGCGGCTCCGGCTGCGCTTCCCGCGCCCGGCCGAGCGCTTTGGCATCCGGGAAGGGGGAATTTGGAGAGCGGGATCGGGAACGGCTGCAGCTGCCGGCGCTCGGCCGCGCGTGCCGCAAATGCAAAGCGGGAATCATGGAGGCTCCGACCGGCGGGAAGCGCTGCCATTAAATAATATTTAAGTCTTAATTATATTTTAAAACAGCCATTGGATTAAAAAAAAAGGAAAAAAAGAAAAAGTGGGAGAAGAAGTTCTATTATGGCGCTTTTGTAGTTAAAGGTCTGTCAACATTTCCATTTTAAACCTTCATTTCTAGGGGGTTTATAATTTGGCCATAAAAATTCATTCTAGGCTGGAACTTGGCATAGAGGGGCTCAGCCTAGGAGCAGTATTTTTTATTATCCAATTTGGTTTAAATTGGTTTGGCCGTTTTTAAGTTATAGGAGTGTAAAAAATAAACGTTTACTGGTTTCAGATGCCTTCGCAGCCTTATTATTATTCCAAATTAGCTTTTCCCCGCGCGCCTCCCCAAAACACCTTCCGCGGAGGCGGGGGCGGCGCCGCCAGGCCGTGAGTTACGATCCCAATTAATCCGCGGCGTCGCTAACGACCTCGGGACTCTAACGACCCCGGGATTTGCTGCAGGCCTTTGCATGGGGTTCGTGCAGCATCTGCCGCGTCGCAAATCCGCAGCCGACGCCGCGATCCCGCGATCCCACAATCCCGCAATCCCACGATCCCGTGCGCGTTCCCGTTCCGGCGGCAGCTGCGAAGCCGGGGCGGAATTCCTCGCCACGGAGCCGCAGACGTTTCCTTGGATTTAGAGGGGGGAAAGGGGAAAGCAGCGGATTTGACGGCGCGGCGGGGCCGGAGGCGGGGG